CTCATGCTATACCTTCGACCCCAAGCTGCTCTCATCACAGTCCACTCTCCTGACACACGCCCTCTGTGCCACCTGGAATGCTGGGGGACGAATGCTTTCACCTCATTATATCTCCCCGCCAGTTCAATCTCTGCTCTCCTCGCCAGGCACTCAGGGCAGCCCAACCCCCACCACTCTCCTCCTCTCCCTTCTGGGTTGAGCAGGATTCTTCACCGTCGCTTCCAGAGTGGCACAAGCCCCGCCACCACGGTCAGTCAGAACGGGAGTGCACCCATCAGTCCTGAGATGGAATCTATGCTCCAGAAGCGTGAGGAAGAGGCACCACATTCACGCTCTCATGGGGACAGTCAGCTATGAGCTACCCCTTGACACCACAACCAACCCAAGTGTAAGGCTTTTCCAAAACTGTTGGGGCTTCCGAAGTGGCCAGTGAATCAGTCCCACCCACGCTGAGGGCTGGGACAGCAGGACAGAGTCAGCAGTCCTGCTCAGGACCCTCCCTCCCGTACTGGAAGCAAATTAGGGGTCCTGGTCCCCTGGGTTGGCTGGGGAAGGGGGAGTCCCTGACCGGGTTAGAGAGCCCCAATATCCAGCTCCATCAGTACCTGACTAGCTGGGGGTGGTGGTGGGAACTAAAGACACAGTCCTAAGCCCCCTGCTGGCTGAATGGACCCCTCTAGGCCAGGGGGACCCCAGAAACACCTTAAAACTGAGTTCTCAGCCATGACGGAATAGGAGAGATAAAGTGCAATTACATGTGTATGATTTCCCTTCATGAATATTCATGACTCCTCCCAGAGCTTGTTGAATATGTATATTTGACCACCCCACTCAGTATAAAATCCCGTTGCCTTTTGTCTCTTCTTTGAAGCACACGTGCCTGGCTTCTGGCTGGGGCTCTGCTTCCCAACTTACTGGAATGACCACAGCAGGTTGCTACCCTTCATGAGAACTAAAGTTCTCCTTTTTCCAAAGTATAAACCTCATTAATTAATTAATGTGTTTTAGTTAACAGTGGCCTCAAGGGGCCAAAGAACCTTCACATGTCAATCCGGCTCTCTCGGGTCAACTCTCGCCAACCACGAGCTTTGGGTGGCCCACGATTGTGTGACAACACGCAAGCTGTTCTCCGCCATAAATCACACTCACTCGCAATGACAAGAAAACCACAAGGCCACCGTGTTCCAGTTGGTGCACAAGGGCACATTCAAACAAACAGCTGTCTGTGAGAAAGCATATTTGAAAGCAATCTGAACCCGTCCTTGGCCTCTCAAAAACACGAAAAAGGTTTGTGTTGAGACAGAAAGAGGAAGATGAGTGTGTATTCTTTTTGTTGTGGTTGATTTTTCTTTTGTATTTTACTTTCTGAATTACTTATAACTATATTGAAAACAAGGATGTGTCTCATATTTCTTTGTACCCTATAGCAGAATGCCATGTAAGTACTAGGGTTCTGAAGGGATTGGATAATACTGATTTATTCAACTGCTTTGTCGTTGAGCTACGACTCACAACAAGAAGCTATAGATATTTCGAGTGTACAACCTGATGTGTTTGGAGGTAAGTGTGCACCCACCAAACCACCCTCGTTATCAAGGCCATAAACATATCCATCACCTGCCAAAGTTCCCTCCTGCCTCCTTAGGTTTTTTTCCCCTTTTGCGGTAAGAGCACTTAATGTAAGATCCGCCCTCTTAGCAAATGTTTAAGTATACAATACAGTACTATTGATCACGGGCCTTATATTGTACAGTAGATCTCCAGGTATTAATTATGCATGTGAAACTTTGTACCCTTTTACTAACACCTCCCCATTTCTCCCTCCCCACAGACCCTGGCAACCACCCTCTACTCTGCTTTGTGTGTGACTATTTTAGATTCCACATATAAATGACATCATGCAGCATTTGTCTTTCTATGCCTGGTTCATTTCGCTTGTATGATGTCCTCCAGGTCCATCCATGTGGCGGCAAATGGCAGGATCTCCTCCTTTCGCAAGGCTGAATAGTGTTGTGTTGCATGTGTATGCCACATTTGCCTGATCTGTGTTCCCGTCAGTGACCATCCAGGCTGTTTCACGTCTTGGCTACCGTGAACAAGGCTGCAGTGGACACGGGAGTGCAGAAATCTCTTCACGATCCAGGTTTCAATTCTTCTGGACACATACCCAGAAGTAGGATTGCTGGATCATGTGCTAATTCTACTTTTAATTTTTTGAGGAACCTCTGATTTCCATAGTGGCTACCAATTTACATTCCCACCAGCAACATACAAGGGTCCCGGTTTCTCCACATCCTCGCCAATGCTTGCCTGTCTTTTGTCTTTTTCACGATAGCCAACTTAACGGGTGCGAGGTGATATCTCATTGTGGTTTTGATTTGCATTTCTCTGATGAGGAGTGACATTAACTACCTTTTCATATACCTGTTGGTCATTTATGTACCATCTTTGAAGAAATGTCTATTCAGGTCCCTTGCCCATTTTTTTTTTTTTTTTTTTTGAGACAGAATCTCACTCTTTTGCCCAGGCTAGAGTGAGTGCCGTGGCGTCAGCCTAGTTCACAGCAACCTCAAACTCCTGGGGCTCAAGCGATCCTCCTGCCTCAGCCTCCCGAGTAGCTGGGACTACAGGCACGCGCCACCATGCCCGGCTAATTTTTTCTATATATATTTTTAGTTGTCCGATTAATTTCTTTCTAATTTTAGTAGAGACGGGGTCTCGCTCTTGCTCAGGCTGGTTTCGAACTCCTGAGCTCAAACAATCCGCCCGCCTCGGCCTCCCAGAGTGCTAGGATTACAGGCGTGAGCCACCGCGCCCAGCCCTTAACTGCTATTTTTAAAGTAGTGCATAGATATTAAATACAATTTTTTTTAAGTTCAGGAAAGTAAAAAAATAAGAACAAACAATGCACCAACCAAGGGTAACAAGGTTGGTATTTTGGCAGAGTTTCTTTCCTGTGCTTTCCTTGCTTTGGGGTTGAAGTGCTGGCTTTAGGTCATTACGCCATTGTCATTAGACTGCCCAGGCACGGGGGACCCTCCCTTGGGGCTGCGTTGCACAGTACGGGTTTCTGCCCCCCATGAGTTTGCTTTTTCTGTTACAAAATATTCTCCTGACTGTACATATAATCTTTTAATCAGACAAAGATCGATCATCGCTCTTTCTGTTTTAAATGTTCAAAACCAACTCACACTGGCGGAGTTTACTGACGCACGTACTTAACTAGCTCAGGATATGGCAGGCTTCAGCTGTGCCTGGATCCAGAGGATAAAAATGTCGTCTGGTGTCTGTCTTTCCGCCTCCCGCACAGGCTGCTGCCACCCAGGTGAGGTGGCCCCAGCACTGCCAGGTGCACTCCCAGCCCAGGGTCGAAGGAGGCGGGGCAGAAGTCCAGGGTCCACTGTGATTGGTCAGAACCAGGTCACAGGCCTTTGCCTCCTTCTGTCGCTGGGACCGCCTAGGGACAATATGAAGGAGAAAGGAGGTAGAAAACCCGAAAGCAACAGGCGGTGCGTTTTTGCCTCTCCCCTTTCATGAATATTTGGATGATTTCACATTTTTTATTATACATCGTGGTGAAATGAACGTCTGCGTGCCAAAAGGTTTTTGCACGATGAAGATTCTTTTTTAAAACTAGAATGCATAGCGTGGGATAAGATAACGGTGGCAACCTCCTAGAGGAAGAGGAGGAGGACTTTTCTCCCCACATTGTAACAGTAAAATAGAGCATGAGAAGTTTAGAAAAGATTTTTAAAGTGCAGGGGAAAGAGCCACTATCAACATTTTGAAGTACAGCCTGCTGGTCTTTATTTTATGAATCTTAGGATCTAGAGGTTTTAAATAGTTGTAATCCTGTATCTGCTCAATTTTATTTCCTACTTTTGTTTCTCTCATTTCCTTGTTCTTATAATTATTTCATAAGCATAACTAAATGCTAGCATTACTAACATAACTAAACATAAACAGTTTTCCCTGCATTTAATAATGTTTCCTTAGTGTTTGAAAACCCTTAAGTGTAGGAACCTTTGTAAAGTTCTGAATAAACATTATCAATAATAATGCCTGGCACAAAATATTCACCAAGCTTGTGGTTTTGTTTGTTTTGTGGAATGGCTGGGTGGTGGGGGGAGAAACGAGGAGAGAATGGGGATTTGAGACTCATCTCTGACACTTGCTTGCTGGATCCCATTTCTGAGGTTTAGTTTTCTCAGCCATGAAGTAAGTGTAACCTGAATGAAATACAGAACTCGGTTTGGGTGGGGATTTATAGTGCCCCACTCACAGCAACAGCAGTCTGGGAGGAAAAATACCCTTGGAAAAAATTCCAGCGCCTACTAACGCCCTTGAGCCAATTTCAAAGGGCGCAGGAGACGTTCATCGTTTCCTCTTTACTCACTTCTCTCATTCTCAAACTTTCTCCCATGCAGGGCGGAACCTCTTGGACAGACCCTCGCTCTTCCCCTCTCCCTAGCCCCTTAGGTCCTTCCCGGTGCAGCCCAAGCAGCGCTCTGCCCTCTCCTCTCATGCTATACCTTCGACCCCAAGCTGCTCTCATCACAGTCCACTCTCCTGACACACGCCCTCTGTGCCACCTGGAATGCTGGGGGACGAATGCTTTCACCTCATTATATCTCCCCGCCAGTTCAATCTCTGCTCTCCTCGCCAGGCACTCAGGGCAGCCCAACCCCCACCACTCTCCTCCTCTCCCTTCTGGGTTGAGCAGGATTCTTCACCGTCGCTTCCAGAGTGGCACAAGCCCCGCCACCACGGTCAGTCAGAACGGGAGTGCACCCATCAGTCCTGAGATGGAATCTATGCTCCAGAAGCGTGAGGAAGAGGCACCACATTCACGCTCTCATGGGGACAGTCAGCTATGAGCTACCCCTTGACACCACAACCAACCCAAGTGTAAGGCTTTTCCAAAACTGTTGGGGCTTCCGAAGTGGCCAGTGAATCAGTCCCACCCACGCTGAGGGCTGGGACAGCAGGACAGAGTCAGCAGTCCTGCTCAGGACCCTCCCTCCCGTACTGGAAGCAAATTAGGGGTCCTGGTCCCCTGGGTTGGCTGGGGAAGGGGGAGTCCCTGACCGGGTTAGAGAGCCCCAATATCCAGCTCCATCAGTACCTGACTAGCTGGGGGTGGTGGTGGGAACTAAAGACACAGTCCTAAGCCCCCTGCTGGCTGAATGGACCCCTCTAGGCCAGGGGGACCCCAGAAACACCTTAAAACTGAGTTCTCAGCCATGACGGAATAGGAGAGATAAAGTGCAATTACATGTGTATGATTTCCCTTCATGAATATTCATGACTCCTCCCAGAGCTTGTTGAATATGTATATTTGACCACCCCACTCAGTA